TTTTTGAGCTAAAATTGTTCATGATTACTGCCAAATAGATTGACTCTGTGTTGTTGTGAATAAATCTGCTTCACTTTGCCTGTTTGGTTTGTTATTTCTCATTACTAATTTCCACGTGTATTTGTAATGTAGAGATTTTAAAAAAATAGAATTAGAATTACCAATAAATATGGGTTTTTGTCGTGAAGTGGGCTGAATAAGAACATACAATTGACTTGTTAAAAAAAAGAAAACAGTCGCCGCTGTACTTCCTAGCTCTGACCGCTAGGTGCAGCAGCGGTTTAAACAGAACACAAAGGAAGAAGAGAAGTAAACAGGAAGTGGGAGTTTCTCTCGGTCTTTAACCTTTTATCGTTCTACTTCTCGCTGTGTTTTGCTTTATTTCCTCGTTAATCCACTGGTTTTAACCAGTATTTGTGGATCCAGGTGAATGTTTTAGGTTTTATTTTGAGTCGTTTTCGTCGACCGTGTCGAGTGCTTTAACTGAGAAAATGTTCTGTTTTTTTTCCAGTTATGTCGAGCTCGGAGGGAATGACGAACGCCCAGTTATTACAACAGGTACATTTGTCATAACTTAAAAATTCACTTGGTTTTATTTTTTTTGCGAACAAACTGTTCGTAAGGCACTTTTTTATTTTTATAAAATCCATAAGATACGTCACCTCGTAACATTTTTGGTAGCTATGAGGTAATAACTATTACCATTAGGATAATTGTTTTTTTGTTGTTGTTTTTTAATTTGCGGACTAAACTGAGTTGAGAAGCAGATTCGTTATTCTGTCTCGTTTTCCCAACTTTTCAACTCTTTAGCATTTATGAATTATTTACTACCTGCGTGAAAAGTATGGACAGGAAAGGAAAATTAGCATGAAGAATTTCGTAACATCACTACGTATTAACCATATTATTTGAGTGTATTATTATTATTTACACATCCAGTATTTTCCTTCTGCTTCTTACATCATACAATTCCATAAAATGTACATTTTAATTTGCTGCTTTTCACAATGTCCACATCCTTTCTTCAGGTGGCGCTTTTGCGCTGGCTGTCATCACAGAGCGACGAGGACCGCGGGTTG